GGGAAAACTGAGGCAAACAGAGATCAAGTGACTTGCCCACGGTCACACAGCTAGTACATATCTGAGTTCAGATCTGAATTCAAGTCCTGGCACTCTATCCATTAGGTCACCTAGCTTTTCAGACCTCCCTTCCTTCAAAGTCTAATTCATGTGCTATCTCATTATGTTTTCTCTGGATCATCTCCCAGCTGAAAATGATCTCTACACCTCAAATTTCTTTTTTATGGCATTGTCAGGACATCTGAACACTTACTAATTCTCTTCTGTATCTTGGTTATTTGTGCATATTTCTTTCTTCCAAACTACTAGATTTCTCTCTGAGGAAATGTCTGTATTATATCTATCTTTGTATCCCCAATATTTAGTGCAATATGTCCAATGGCCTTTTCTTGAACCTCATCTTTCTTGATGTTTCTGCAGCCTTGTTGACTACCTTACCTTTCCCAGTCACCAATGGAGTGAAACAAGGCTGTGTACTTGCTCCCATGTTTTTTAGCATGATGTTTTTAGCAATATTGTCAGACACCCCCAGTGAGGGCTGTTAAGGGCATCAAGGTCAGCGACCACACTGATGATAGATAATTTAACTTGAAAAGGCTAAAAGCCAAACCTAAAGCGGAGGGAGTGTTGGTGCATGATTTTCTGTTCAAAGATGATTGTGTACTCAATACAGCCTCTGAAGCTGAGATGCAACGAAGTATGGATGGATACTCTGTTGCTTTTGCTAATTTTGGTCTAACAATTAACACCAAGAAAACACAGGTGCTCCACTCGCCAGCACCACACTGGTGCCCTTCATACATGGAACCATCAGTTACAGCAAATGGAGAAGTTTTGAATACTGCGGATAGGTTCACTTACCTTGGCATATACTTTCCAGGGATGCACACGTTGATAATGAGGTTGACTCACACATTGCCAGAGCTAGTTCACATTTGGGAGGCTCTGAAGAAAGTGTGGAAGAGAAGACGTATTAGACTGACTACCAATCTGAAGGTCTACAGAGCTGTTGCGCTGACCCCACTGTTGTCTGCCTGTGAAACCTCGAGAGTATACCAGTGCCATGCCAGGAAACTGAATTGCTTCCATTTGAATCGTTTTAGGAAGATTCTGAAGATCACTTGGCAGGATAAGGTAACCGACACTGAGATCCTTTCTCGAACTAAACTGTCAAACATTCAAACTCTATTGCAGAGTGCAACTCTGATGGGCTGGCCAATCTGTTCAAATGCCAAATGTATGCTTGCCTAAAAGACTTTTATGGAGAACTCACACAAAGAAAGTGCTTACATGGTAGTCAGAAGAAGCGATACAAGGACACTCTTAAGGTCTCAGAAAACTCTGGAATTGCTTGCACGACATGGGAGACACTGGCACAGGGCCACCTGGCATGACATGCCCTCATCAAAGAGGTGCTGTGCTCTATGAACAAAGCAGAATTGAAGCAGCTCGAAAGAAACTCAAGATGCGCAAATTTCAAGAATCCATCCCAAATGTTCACATGGATCACTTGTGCCTGGCCTGTGGTAGAGCATTCCGAGCTCGTATTGGTCTGATCCGTCAGCTGGACACACTGTAACTTGACTCTAACATAGTGATGTCATTTTGGTCCTTTTCAAGAACCAAGGACAACAATCAAGCAACCCCTCCCCATTGTTACTGTCTCCTCAATGCTGCTCTCTCTTCTCATAACTATCCGACCACTCTTACTCTGTCATCATCTATGTCCCACCCCCTAACTGTGAGTATACCCCAAGACCCCGTCTTCAGCTCTTTCTTCTTTCTATATTCTCTTTCTGGACGGTCTTGTCCATTCCCACGGGTTCAATGATCAGTTTTCATTGCTATGTAGATTACTTCCACATCTACACATCCAGCCCTAACCTTTCCCACTGGATGTCCCACAGACAACTCAGACTCAGTATGTCCAAAGCAGAACCTACCTCTTTCCCTAACTTCCTTGTTTTGGTTGAGGGCATCACCATTCTTCTGACCACGTGGGTTGCAACCTTAGAGTTATCCTTGACTTCTTCTTCTCCCTCACTAGACATAGCCAATTGGTTACTAAGTTTTGTTGATCCAACCTCTACATTCCTTGCGTATGTCTCCTGTCCACTCCCACGGCCCCCACCCCAATTCAAGCCATCACCCTTCACCTGTGCTATTACAATAGCTTCCCAATCGATCTCCCTGTCTCCAATCTCTCCCTTGGCCAATCCATGCTTCTCATAGCAGCCAATCAAATAGATCAACAATCACATTTAATAAAGTAAGTACCTACTATGTCCCAGGCACTGTGGAGATTCAGAATATAAAACATTCCCTGCCCTCAGAGACTTTCCATTCTAATGAAGAGGACCATATGCATGGATAGAGGTACGGGTATACAAAACAAAACACATACACATACGCAACAGATACAAAGTAATCTTGGGAAGGTTTATGCAGATGGGAGGAACCAGGAAAGGGCTCATGAAGAAGGTGGCACTTAAGCAGAGCCTTGAAGAAACCCGGGATTCCAAGAGGCAGAGGTGAGGAGAGAGCATTCCACAAATGGGGACAACCAACATAAAGGTGGGCGAAGTGGTACTTGTGAGACATGGTAAGAAAGCTAGCATGGCCGAACTTTACAGTTTATGGAGGGGACTGACGGGTAATATGATTAGAAAAGTAGGATGTGATTAGATTCCAAAAAGCTTTAAATCACCCAAAGAGGATTTTATATTGAATCTTAGAGATAACAGGGAGCCATTGGAGATTTTGGAGCTTATTATTAAGTTTATTATTACTTATTTTGACGTGGTCAGACCTTCAGTTTAGTGACCGTATGTCAAAGAGTCGAACAGGGAGGCGGCCTAGTGTATAGAGCAACCAGGGCTTCAAGTCAAAAAGACCTGAGTTCAAATCCAGCTTCAGGAACTTATTAGCTCCCTGGGCAAGTCATTTAATGTTTACCTTAGTTCTCTCATCTGTACAACGAACTGGAGAAGGAAACGGCAAACCACTCTAGCATCTTTGCCAAGAAAATCCCAAATGAGGTCATGAAGAGTCACACATGATTGAACAACAAAATGCCAAAAGAGGCATTTAAAGATTTTCACAATCTAGTTTCAGCCTTTCATTCCAGGGTCCTTATATATGACTCCTCTTCAAGCACAATGCTATTGTGCAATCAAATTGACTTACCTATTTGCTGTTCCTCCCATACTGCACTGTATCCTCTATTTCCAAGATTTTGTACAGGCTATGTACATTGGGCCTGGAATGTACTCTTTTCCCCACCTCCATTTCTTAGGGCCCCAGCATCCTTTGGAGTGCAACTCAAATGCCACCCCCATATCAGGCTTTTCCAGAATCTGTCCTGGCTGCTAGTGCCTCCTCTCCTTGTGTTTATCTTATATATAGTTTGTTATCTATTTATATGTATCCATGTTAATCAATATATTGTTTGCCTTCTCATGGGGTGGGAGAGAGGCAGGAGGGAAGGAGAGAATTTGGAACTAAAAAATTTTTAAAGTGAATGTTAAAAATATTTTAAATATAATTGGGAAATATTTAATGAAATAAATAAAAATGTATTGTAAGTTTCCATGTTGTTTTCCCCAACTGAATCTAAGCTTCTTGAGTAGAGGGATTGTGTCCCTTTTGTCTTTTTATCCTCTAGGCCTAGTACAGTGTCAGGCACACAGTAAGGGTTCAATAAATGCTTATTTGTTCATTAATAAATGTTTGTTGTTGGAATAGTAGAGAAGCCTCTGAGTTCTAAGAGTTACTCCTTCTACTTCTGAAGTGATGTTAGAAGTTCTACCTCATACCAGTCAAAATCTACATCTCTCTGACTCCCTTTTCCACCTCTCCCCATTGCTGCTGGGCAAAGCAAGACATGAAGAAAATGGTGCAGTGGATAGGCAGCAGGGCCTGGAGTCAGGAAGACTCAAGTTCAAATATGATCTCAGACACTTACTAATTGTGTGACCCCACGCAAATCACTTTGCCTCAGTTTCCTTATGTGTAAAATAGAGATAACAGCAGCACTTCCTTATTTCCCCAGTGCTTAGCACAGTACCCAGCACACAGTAGGCCCATAGTGAATGTTCATTGACTGACTTATTCTAAAGAGTCTCCTTTCATCTGTAAAATAATAGACAGCATTTACGTACTTTAAGGTTTGCAGAGCACTTTATATATTATCTCATCTCTTTGTTCATTTTCTCTGGCTATCCCCCATGCCTGGAATGCTTTCCCTCCTCCAAACCAACTACTAATCTCCCTGGCTTCTTTAAGTCCCAACTAAAATCCTACCTTGTAGACTAGGAAGCCTTCTCCACAACCCCTCTTAATTCCAGCACCTTCCCTCTGTTAATTATCCCCTTATTAATCCTGTATATAGTTTGTTTTGTACATATTTGTTTGCATTAGATTGCAAGCTGCTTGTGGGCAAGGACGGACTTTTGCCTCTTTTGGTATCCCCAGGACTTAGCATTTTGGCACTTAGTAAGCACTTAATAAATGTTTACTGATCCTCACACAAAACAACCCAGTGAGATTAGGTGCTATATACATGCTAGTTATTTTATTATTATAATTGTTGTTGTTAATATTTCTATTCTCCCAGCCCCCAGGACAAATGAGATGACGTAGATAAGGCACTCGGGGTGCTGTATCCACGTGATGTGCCTCTTCGCAAACAGGATCTGAAAGGGTTTCGTCCCTAGCCCGTTGGGGTCTGCAGGCCTCAGTCTCTTAGTCTGTATATGGGGGGGAGGGGCTGGTCGGGAGGAGCCTCCGGCTGGGGGCGGGGCCGGCCAGGGCGGGCCGGTTACGTCACTTCGTGGGGCGGAGCCTGGCCAGGGGGCGGGGCTCGTCCCAGAGCCCCTGAGCCTCCTCTGCCTCGGCCTCAGCCTCTGCCTCTGCCGCCGCCGCCTCCGCCACCCGCACAGGGATCCCGCCGCCCCGCCAGGTCCCCTCCCCCGCCCGGGGCCGGGGCCACCGCCGCCGCCATGCTGAGCCGGCTAGGGGCGCTGCTGCAGGAGGCCGTGGGCGCGGTGAGCCGGGCCGGGGAGGCCGGGGAGGCCGAGCCACGGGGCAGGCCTGGCCGGGGCCTAGGCCGAAGGAGGCGGGGGCGGGGCGGGGAGGAGCCTCCGGGCGCTAGGGGGGCTCCCGGGGCGCCCGCCCCCAGTCCACGTAGGGGGAGGGGGGAAGGGGCTGCCCCGCCCTCGGGGGGGCTCCCTGCTCCTACTGGGCCATCCCCTCCCCCTCGCTTCCGCCTCGACCCCTCCCCCTCTCGTCTGTCCCCCAGCTCCACACCCCCCCCCCGTGCCCTTCAATTTATTTCTTTCTCACCCCTCCTCTATCAGCCCCCTCTCAGGCCTCCTCCCCATCTAGTCTCTCTTCCCCATCTGTTGCTTTCCCCACTTCACTCTCTTCCCCATGTCTCTTTTCTCCCCACCTGTCTCCACTCTCATCTCTCCCATCTATCCCCTCCCCAGTCTCTCTTCTCGGCCACTTCTCCCCCTTCCCAAGTGTCCCTACTTCTCCCATCTGTCGCTTCCTCAGCCTCCTCCCTCACTTCTCCCCTAAGTCTCTTTTCTCCTCAACTCTCTCCTTCCCCATGCTTTTCCCCTTCATCTACTCTCCACCTAAGCCTCTCTTCTCAACTCCCTCCTTTCCCAGTCTCTCCTCCCCCATCCATCACCTCCTCGTCTCTCTTCTCCCCTTTCCCAGTTCTCGGTCCTTCCCACTCCCCTTTCCCCAAGCTTCTTTTCCCCCCAGTTTCCCCCTCCCCAATCCCTCTTCCCTACATCTATCATCCTCTCCATACTTCTTTCCTCCCCCTCTCTTTACCTCCTCAAGTCTCCTTTTCCCCTTCTCTAGCCTTTTCCCTCCATCTGGCCTCTCCTACCATCTATTCCATTCCCAGATCCTCCCCTACCTCTTCCCACTCATCTCTCTTCCCCATCTGTCTCCTAAAGTTTTCTGTTCTTCCCCATCTGTCCCCTACTTCAGTCTCTCTTCTCCGAAACTCTTCTGCCCAACTTCTCTCCCCATATCTCCACGCTGCTCCTACGTCTAAGGCCTTCCCTTTTCATCTACCTGCTTTCCCATCTTTTCCCTCTCCCCTTGCTCCTCTTCCTTTAAGTCTTCTCCCCCACCCCACCTCAGTTTATCTCTTCTCCCTGGTCAGGAATCTTTCCCCCAGATTATAATTCTTTTATAACAATGAAAAAAAAAACTTTCTTCAAATTGATCAATTTTAAAAATTTTTCTCCAAGGGGAACACAGGAGATGACAGAATCTCAAAGTCAGAAGGACCCTCAGAAATCATTTAGTACAGTTCATAACTGATTCAGAATCTCCTCTATGACATTCCTGACAAGTGGTCATCCCACTTCCAAGTTCTAGTGAGGGGAACCTATTACCTCCTGGAAGGCCTTGTAGAACTCTGATTGTTCGGGTAGCTTTTTTCCTTATATTATCTAAACTTGCCTCTCAGTCACTTCTATGGCTGCTCCTACTTCTGCACTAGTTCAGGGCCAAATCTTAACATCTTCCATGTAGCAGCCCTTCAGATATTCAGAATTGTTCTGTCTACTCTAGGTCTTATTTCCTAACTTCACACAGGCAGCCTGTACCCCTCCTAAAAAAAAAAAAAGTCAGCAAAATATGAAGTCATCTGAAAATTCCCATCTTTTCCACCTCCCCACGTTCAGCACAGAGCCTCACATGTCATAGGCACTTTGTAAATGGGAATTTAATTGAATATTACCCCCAGAATAATCCCCTTCAAACAATCCACCAAAAATTATCCTGACCAAAAGCTTCCATTCTTAACTTATCTCAGCCATCCTTAGAAATCTTAGGGATAGGAACTACACCAGGAATTTCACTGGTATAGGGAAGTGATGAGAAAGTTCCCTCTACCAAGAAGGCAAGATCAGCCACCACCTTCTCTGTAAGTTACTGGCAGAGAGTTGCTGAGAGCAGTGGTGTCAAACTCAGAAACAGAACCACTGTAAATGAAATTAAGGCTTACTGTTGGTCTGGAGTCAAGAAGACCCAAGTACAAATTTGGTTTCAGACTTTGGCAAGTCACCAAACCTCTGTCTGTCTCAGTTTCCTCTTTTGTAAAATAGGGATAGTAATAGCACCCACCTCCCAGGGTTTTGTGAGGATCAAATGAGATAACTGTAAAGTGCTTAGCACAATGCCGGGCGCATAGGAAGTGCTATCTAAAGTTAGCTATAATAATAATTGTTTTTGTTGCAATTTTATTTATTTTGTTAAATAGTTCCCAGTTACATCTTAATCTGGTTCGTCAGCAGTCAGGAGGGTGGGCAGCCCACCTGTCGAGGCCTCTGACTGAGAGCACTAAGAAGCTAAATGAACTTTCCCAGGCTCACACAGCCAGTATGTATCAGAGGCAAGACTTCAATCCAAGTCACCTTGGCACCAAAGCTAGCTTTCTATTCATCATTCTGCACTGCCTCTCACATTTATGAGTTTAACTCATATCTACCCTAAGAATAACTCAAACTCTGGTCCGTAACTTTGATAGACCTTAGTGTAAATACATTGTCTAAGTCTCTGCCTTAATTAGATGGCTCCATGCTTTTCTGAATTTGGTGAATCCTAACATATATATCCTACATGGAAGAAGTGCAGAGAAGGGTGCAATTTTTCATCTAATGACTGGGTGTATTCCATGTCAATCTGACTTTATTTCAACCATAATCTCAAATCTAATCTAATACATCAATTTATATTAAGGGATAGTGGATGATTTAGCCTCCCAGTGGTATGTATATTTTAGAAAGATCTCTGCCTTTACCCATTTGACCAAAGAAATTTCTAATGTTGGAATTACAGGCATGGATTAAGAGGAAAGGCGTTTTTAGATAGTGTGCTCCTTCAAAAATCACACCTTGGTGTCAACAGCCTATAAGAAGGCTGGTTTTGGATAATGATATAGAGTGCTGAAAATATTTCCCCTTCCCCCCCATTTCCTGTCCAACTCTAAATCTCTGATCCTTTAGCCTTGGCCTGCCTTTCTCCCCTCCCCCAACCCAAGGTAGAGGATCCCTGTACCTTCTCTTTTCTTTCCCTAGGTTACTGTCAATTCTTAACTTGGTTTGTAACTTCAGGCAGGTTGTTTCACTTTCTTGCACGAGTTACTTCTGTAAAACAGAATATGGGTTAATTGCTACTTTATAAGACAAGCATCCCTATAAATGGAGAGAATTGGCCTTTCTCTCTCCGTTCTAACTAGAGATCCCATGATCCTCGGGCTATGGTTTTTTGTTTGTTTTGGTGAGGCAGTTGGGGTTAAGTGACTTGCCCAGTGTCACACAGCTAGCAAGTGTCAAGTGTCTGAGGCTAGATTTGAACTTAGGTCCTCCTGACTCCAGGGCCAGTGTAGTGCCTAGCTGCTCCTAGGTCTGTCTTTTTAAAAAACCATTGTGGGGAAACTTCGTTGGGAAGCATAGTAGGAAAATCATCCTAGTAATAAACCCTCTCATGAAGTCCGTTTAAGCTTCCTGAGGGCTGTTGGGTGACTGGCCAATTATCAGAATTGTTCCACTTGACTGAAGATCACCAAGAGACTTTGGGAGCCTGAAGTTAGATGTTGGGGTGGTAGGGACCCGGTCACAGAAGACCTAAGGTGGTTGGGAAGCCCCTCTAGAAATAGACTACATCCAGGAAGTATATAAGGAACATTCTGAAGAGTTGGAGACAGTTGATTAAGGGGAAAGGAATAAGTATTTACATAGTGCCAAGCACTGGGCTAAGTAAGTGCCTTATAAATATTATTTGATCCTCACGACAAGGGGGAGAAGGTGCTATCATCCCCATTTAACAGATGAGGAAACTGAGGCAGGCAGAGGTTAAAGTGACTTGCCCAAGAACACCCAACTATTAAGTGTAGCTTGCTAAGTGAGGTCAATTTTTAATTCAGATCTTCCTGACTCCAGGCCCAGCTTGGAGTTCTATCCACCATACCACATAACTTGGGAATTAAGAAGCCACAAGATGCAATCTTCTTTACCTATGACCCCCTCCACCTCCTACTTCTGCCGAAAGGGAGAGGTGCTTTCTCCTAGCTCTTCTATGGGGCCGGGCTTGTTCTTTGTAGTTTCGAAACGTTCATTGTTGATTGTTTGGTGATGTTCTTTCCATTTAGCTGTAGTCATTGTGGATATTGTTTTCCTGGCTCTGCTTACCTCACTTTACATCAGTTCATGTATGTCAGCAGTTTCAGTAATGGTCTTGATAGCACCCTAAAATCCCTGCCCACCTTAGCTGAGGACAGAGCCCTGGGGGATAGCCAAGGGTGGGGAGTGGGAAGAAGATGAGCCAGCAGAAGAGCTGGTCAGGTAGGAGGAAGATTAGGATAGTGTATAGTCATAGTAGTTAAGGGAGAGGGCATCATGATGGTAGATGATAGGAGATGTTAAAGATCTAATCCCCCCTACCCCCCCCCCCATACGCACTATTTTCAGATGGGGAAAGTGAACCCTAGAGAGGGGAAGTTACTTGCTCAAGGTCGCACAGTAGCAGAAGTCAGATTAAAACTTGGGCCTTCCAACTCAATATCTAGTACTCATTCCACTATCATACAGTCTCCTAGAAATGATGCCAAACAAAAGTTTCAGAAAAGACATGAAGACGAAGCACCCACTGTGGGGTCATGGAGCTGGATGTTCAGATCCAAATCTAATAGATCCCAAAAGACCTGGTCAGAGCTCCTTGTGGGCACTGTCAATGCTGGCTGGTGAAAAGATGTGCATCGCTGAAGAGTTGGGGCATTCACTTTAAGTTGTACCTCTCTCACACTTTCTTTCTGTCTTTCTAGCGGGAGCCCAGCATTGACTTGCTAGAATCCTTTGTGGAGCACTGGAAAGGTATCACTCACTACTACATTGAAACCACAGGTGAGACGTAATTGTCCTGGCTTCCCCTCAGATATCACAGGGTTGGAGGTCACAGCCTACCTGGATCAGAAATGGGGAGTCTCGAGAGCATAAACAAATAGCCTACCCTGCCAGCTTGCCAAGTGAGAGAAGGCAGAGAGTGGGATGGTCCTAGAGATGGAAGTGCCCATCCTTTTGTCTCTCAGTGTCTCTCCATTTCTGTTCTCTTAAGTGGATCATTCTATCTGGGAATAGCATTGGGCATGGTCCTCCCTCTTCAATGGGCCAAGAAGATGGGTGTTTTACCTTCTTCCAGCCCCTGCAGGCCTTTGTTTTCCCTGGAGATGAAGGTCTAAAAAATATCCCAGATCCCCTTGAGGGGACATTTCCCAGCTGAGGACTCTGAAGGAAAACATCTCTTCATTCCTTATTTGTTAAGAGACCTTATGACGGTCCGTCAGACCTTGGCCTCCAGTGGGCCAGGAGTCAAACACCAGCGCTGTTGAACATAAGCTGGTCGCTGAGTAATCTCAGACTGTGTCCTTTGTGCTCACCTCCCAGAGTTTACATTAGGGCTTAGGGAGGGGGAGAGCTCCATCAGACTTTTACTGGGCATCAGACACTAGACCTGGAGTCAGGAAGACCTGAGTTCAGATCCAATCTCAGATGCTTACTAGATTAGCCGTGGAGCCCTGAGTAAGTCGCTTCACCTTCTTTTGGTCTTAGTTTCCTCATCAGTAAAATGGGTATAGTAATAGCACCTACTCCTCAGGTTGTATTGAGGATCAAATGAGATAATTAATATTTGAAAGCACTTTGCAAACCATAAAGTGCTATATAAAATTGCTAGCTATTATTATTTCTTGGGGCAGCTAGGTAGCGCAGTGGATAGAGTGTCAGGTCTGAAGTTAGAAAGACTCATCTTCCTAATCTGAAAGTCTGGCCTCAGCCACTTACTAGCTCTATGACCCTGGGCAAGTCACTTAACCCTCTTTGCCTCAGTTTCCTCATCTGTAAAATGAACTGGAGAAGGAAATGGCAAACCACTGCAGTATCTTTGCCAAGAAAACCCCAAATGGGGTCACAAAGAATCAGATACGACTGAACAACAGAAAGATGGAGTAAGCTGATGAGAGTACAGATAGCTTATCCAGACATAAAGCCAGAAGAAATGCAAAGTTAGGGACTGTTATTTTGGAGAAGAGACAGGAAGGCAGAAATCAGGATGTCCTGTAGCAGTAACGTTTTGGATCCCATCCTCTGCTCTGTCCCATCTCCACATTCTAGCCCACATTCCCGAAGGAGCCTGTTTCAGGAGAGGCTTGAGAATAGAAGACTTGGGGGAACGTGATCAGCTTTCACATATTTGAAGAATAGGCATGTGAAAGAAGGATTAGACTTGTTCTGTTTAACTCCAGAGGGCAGAAGTAGGAGTGAAGAATGCAGGGAAGTTGATCTAGGCTGGGAGGAAGGGAGGAACAATGAGAGATAGCCAGAAGTGCAGGAGCCTGCCTGGAGGTGGGAGTGGGAGTGTCTCCCTCCTTCAAGGGGGAGGTCTTCAACCCGAGACAAAGTGATCTCTTGTCAGGCTGGTTGTAGCGAGGATTCCTGTTTGGGTACAGGCTAGATGATATGGTTTCTGAATTCCCGTCCAGCATTGACTAGTCCTCCCTGCCCCAGAGATTTAAGTGGTTTGTGTTGGTCCTAGAATCACCCAGAGAATTCCTTTGACTGGCAGAATTATGGAATATCCAGAACAGATCTCTCTGCCTCTCTAGAAAGCGGCACAGTCTAGTGAAGAGGACATTGGTCTTGGAATCAAGAGGACCTGGATTCAGATTCCACCTCAGATACTTAACAGCTATGTGACCTAACTTCTCTGTGCATTATCTGAAAAACGAGGCAGTTGGGCTCAATAGTCTCTAAACCTATGATCCTGTGATCTACTGGGGGATCTCCCTGGAACCACTGGGAATCCCGTGTCTGAAGTAGGATTTGAACTCAGGTCTTCTTGACTTCAAGTCAGGTGCTCTAACCTCTGCTGCTCTGGCTGGCTTGGATCATAAACACAGGATTCTTCATGTCATCTGTCTTCATAAGCTAAAATGGTCCCCCTGGTGTGTGCTACTAGCACTCTGGATCCCATGTCCTAGAGAAAAGGTGACAGGCACTCGTCGATCAGCAAGAATTTATTAAACACTATGTGTCAGGCACCATGCTAAATGCTGGGAATACAAAGAGAGGCAAAAACAATCCCTGCCCTCAAGAATTTTAAATTCTAATGAGAGAGACAACATGTAAATAAATAGGTACATACAAGATACAGAAAGAGGAAGTGGAAGATAACCTTAAAGGAGAGAGTGCTAGCACACAGCAGGAGGCCAACTCATTGACCTTGAAGGTTGCCCTATGGCCAACTCAGAAGCACCGAATCTTTTTCTTATTTTCTTAAAGTGCCATTTACGGTTAGATCCTTGGTCTAGCTGACCAAGAGCTCCATTCCTCCTCCCACCTCCCACCCCCACTAGCTCTTGTTCCCCAGAGGTGGCCAGAGTAAATAGAGCAGGGGGGAGTCAGAGCCCATGGAAATAGTTGGTTTGTTTTTTTCTCCCATGCTAACGTGCAGTTATAATCTTCTCATTATTGAAAGAAAGACTAAACAGAACTCAGGGAATGATCATCCAGTAGGCCTCTTAGATGTCTTCTAAGTCGCATGATAAATACCCTGAAGTCTAGGACTTCTGAGCCAGACCCAAAGCTAAAAGGTGCCCCAAGCTATCTGCTGTCGAAATGCCAGTCCTGGACAGCTTCCTAAAGGAGCACTAGCCACTCTGCCTCCTGAAGGCAGGAGAATAATGATGCTGCCATCATTTTGATGGACAATTGTCTAAAGAGCACTTGGCATCCTGAGCCCCAAGGGACCCAGTTTTTGTCTTATTGAAAGGGAATCTCATCTAGGAGCCCTCATTTCTTTTCCCTTGTTCTTGGAATTAGATTTGGCTTCTGGATCTGACTCCACATTGTCTTCCATGGGCTGGCCCTCATGACCCTATAACTTTCCTCTACCCTCCACACTACACTTGTTTCCTCCATTTTGGCAAGAGGGTCCTAAATAAGAGCTCTTCCTGTGCGTGCTTTAGATGAAAACACTCCAGCCAAGAAAACAGACATTCCCTGGAGGCTGAAACAGATGCTAGATATCCTGGTCTATGAAGAAAAGCAACAGGCAGCAGCTGGAGAGGCGGGGCCCTGCCTTGAATACCTGCTACAGCACAAGATCCTGGAAACCCTGTGCACCCTGGGGAAGGCTGAGGTAGGGCACAACATGCCTCAGACCCCCGAGGAGCTCCTGGCCCATACAGCTAGAGGGAGCCTCCACGGACCGCTTGGAGAGGTGCTCTTGAGGGAGGAAAATGAAATGCTATGCAAAGGATGACTGGAATCTGGGAATTAGAGTTCCTAGATTCTGTTCTCCTCTCCTGTCCTGTAATCCTAAGTCACAGCCCCCTGAAGAGGCCTAACTGGGATGGCCATGTGCACAGACACGATGGAGGGGTGATCTGGGAGCAGAGATTATGCCTGTGGCAATGAGGACTCTCCCATATCCCCCAAGCCTACATTTCAGAGATGGGGTTTTACCTATTTCTTGACCAAAGCTCACACCAATGTTTTCTCTCTAGGGGATCTGGAATCCCTACACCCACCCACCACCCCCTGCCGTGCAATAAGGGGATTGTTCCCATTGATAGGATGGCAGTCTTTTGATCAATTTCTCTATTCACTGGCCCCTCAGTATCCCCCAGGTATGCGCCAGCAGGTGTTCCTGTTCTTCAGCAGAATCCTAGCCCAAGTACAACACCCTCTTCTACATTACCTCAACGTCCACCGGCCTGTGCAGGTATGGGACCAATGAGAGCAATGGGGGTGGAAGGGATAGAGGGATAAGTGAATGTAGCATACTGCCCCTTCCTTTCCTTTTCCTTCCCACCAGGACCCCCTGTCTTACTCTCTTTCCCATGTGCTCCTCTGTTCCCAGAAACTCCTTCAGCTTGGTGGGACTGCTGCTGGATCTCCCACAGAAAAGGAGGAGGTACACTTCACCACTGTTCTGTGCACCAAGATCCAGCAGGATCCAGCCCTGCTCGCCTACATTCTTGAGGTAGGCATTGGCCCTAAGAAGAGGAGGGAGAGACAGGACCCCTCCTTGGGTAACACCTCCAGACCACACAAGGTAGGCCCAGCTTGGAATTGACAGTTCAGAGTTCTAAAGCCCATTAGGGAATGTCAGCTTTCCAAGTTCTAGACAAGTAGTTCCATGTCCTTCTGGGAGCAGAGAGGGACAGAGAAGGTGCCCAGAGATGAGCTTCTCGAAGGTGCTGCTAGCTGCTTTCTAGTCTATCCGGGACTAAGTTGAGTCCTGGCATAGATTAAAGCTAGAAAGGACCTTAGAAGTTATCTAGTCCAACACCTCTCTTCCACCCCCATTTTACAAATGAGCAGACTGAAGCATAGAGGAATCTCTATGTGACAAGTCCAAGGGCACACAGGTAGTGTCAACACATCCTACCTTTCCAAGGAGAGCCTGCAGGAATGCCACGACTGAGACTCATCCAGACTTCTTTGCAGGGCAAAAAAGTTGTGGGAAAGAAAGAGACATCTAGCCACCAGGACAAGAGCTCTCCCCTTGAAGAGCCCTCCAGCAGGGTCCCCAGAGTTGATGGGGAGTCCTGGGGGGCCCAGGCCACTGGTGCCTATTCGCCAGGAGGAACTGAAGAACCTGACAATGGGCTTGGGGAGAACAATCTACTCACCTCCTTGATCGGGTTGTGCAAAAGCAAGGTGCTGGCCAAGGAGGGGATGAAAGGAGTCTGAGTGGGTGGCAGGGGCAAGGAAATGTGGGCAGGTGATTCTGGGGAGGGAATGGATGGGACAGGTGGAAGAGGAGGACCTGTTGGCTTCTCTAGGTGCTCCTCTCCCTGATATTCTCTGTCTCCATCCCCTAGAAGAGTCGAGTGGCCCTGAAGGCCCAGGAGAACCTGCTGCTCCTGGTAGGTGTTGCCCCCCAGGCAGCAGCCACCTACTTGGTACAAAGGAGCCCTCTGTGCTCTGCAATGGCAGAACACCTTTGCCAGCTATATCGGGCCATGCCCAGCTTCTTTGACCCTGCTGACATCGCCACCCTAGAGGGCATCAGCTGGAGGTAGGCCTTTGGCTAGAAGCATCCTATCATAGGCAGGGTAGGTAGGCATCAAATGTGGGACATCTTCATTCTGTCTACCTGGTTTTTTGCCCTGGTTCAGAAGCCTTCTGTAGAACCCTCCCAGGGGAAAACACCTAGATAGGCTAGGAGACCCTCGGGGACAGAGCTCCTTGAACATAGGATGGGAGAAACCCCAGGAGCCCTTTCCTCCGCACCCAGACCCCTCCTTTCTTTCCCTGCAGGTTGCCCAGTGCACCTTCAGATGAGGCCTCCTTCCCGGGCAGAGAGGCTTTAGCTGCATTCTTGGGCTGGTTTGATTATTGTGACCACCTCATCAGGGAGGCACATGAGGTATGGAAGAGCTGATCTGGGTTCCTAGGACAGGGGAGCACAGCCGTCATCTCTGGTTGGCAGAGGCCCATGTCCTGTCTCCCGCTCCTAGGCGGCATCTTTGCAGGAACTGAGTGGGCTGGGTATCCCTAATTGTCTCCTTCAGTGCTCTGAAGAAACTAACACATAGATTGAGTCCCACCTTCCCCACTCTTTCTCAATTAAATTCTTATTCATTGAGTATCTCCTGGATGCCTGAGTAGTGTGGTTGGGCACCTATTATTGAACACTTGCTCTTTAGTTCAGAAGATGTGGTCTTTTGCCTCTAGGTTGTTGCAGGTGCCCTAGCAAAGGCTGTGACTGAGAAGCTGTTTGTGGCAGCCCTGCAGCCCCAACTCTTGCATGTGTAAGTTGAAGTCGTCATCCTCCAGGCACACAAAGGGTAGGCTCAAACTCGGTGCCCCACCTCTCCGTCTTCTATCTCCTAGGATCATGGGCATCTCAGGCCCCAGTCATCTTCAATGAAAGCTACTGATATTTACCCCCCAGGTGTTCTGTGCTGGCCTGAACCTCCAGAGTCATCTTTTCCCTTCATCTTTGACTCTCCAAACCTCATTAGGGTGGGGAAGGAGACAGGCAACAGGGAAGCTGCTGCTCTCGCAGGCCTCTCTCCTTCCTAAGGTCATCTCCCTTCACAGAGCAGAGCAGAGAATCCTGACCTCCACAGCCCTTCTGACAGCCTTGCTGCGCCAGCTGTGCTCCCCAGCCTTGCTGCAGGAAGCTGTGGGTTTCTTCGTGGGCACAGACCAGCAGCCTGAAGCTCCTGAGGACAGCCCCCGTTCTCTGTGCTCTCGCCTCATTGGACACTGTGACCACCTCTCTGATGAGGTGAGGATGGGAGATGGCCTCCGTTTCTAGCAGTTCCCTCTTCTCTCCCAGGCCTGACACTTCTCTTTAGCTAGAAGACTCTGTGGCAGCTTCCTCGAACCAGGAGCCCCCTAAGATATTTCATCTTTCCTTGGCTCTTTCCAGGCCCAGGACCTCCAGAATTCAATAAGTAATTAGCAACTTAGCATGCAAATTTTTTTTGCATCTAATTTCATTCTGTATAGGCCTTGTAATCTGAAAAGCATTTTTACATCTGTGAGGTAGACATGGCGGGTTATCGTTGACACCATTTTACCGGGGGAAAATAAGACATAATCAATTGGCTTGCCCAGGATCGCACAGCAAGTTACTGTCAGATACCCTGACTCCTAGTCCAGGGTTCTTTATTGTCTCCCGTCCTCTCCCTATAGCCATCTCACCTGGCTCAGGGGGCAAGCACAGAAGCCTCATCTTTGTGAGCATTGTAGCTGGACAGTCTCCACGGCTGCAGACCCTGACTCCTACTCCACACCCTCTCCTGTGTCTTCTGTACTTCCCAGATTAGCATAGCCACCCTGCGGCTGTTTGAAGAGCTGCTACAGAAACCAAATGAGCACATCATCCACATGCTGCTCCTTCGGAACCTGGAGGGCCGCATGTACTTGGCCCGGGGCTTGCCTGAGCCAGAAAACTATGAGGACACTCTGTGAGTGAGGATATGGGACTAAGGGGCAGGCAGGCCATGGGAGGGAGAAAAGGGAATGGGAAGGGTAGAGACTCCCCTCAGCACCCCTTCACTGGTCCCCCTTGGCCCTGCAGAGACCTGGAAGAAGACCCTTACTTCACAGATGGGTTCCCAAACTCTGGCTTTCAGCCTGCCTCCAGACTTCCAGCTCCCACTCCCCACCTGGATGGCAAGACGGCAGTGACGGAGATTGTCAACAGGTGAGGAGTCCCAGGCTAGAGCGTGTTTCTCCTCACTCTGGGCAGGGGCCTCTTCTCGAAGGGGAGGGCATAGAGAACTGATGTTCCATGACATAGGGAACCATTGAGTGAGCAGGCTGGGAGCCAGGAATGACTTGGGGCCTCATCTTCTGCCTCTGGGCCATTGGCCACCAGCTATGGGAGACCAAGTAGGGAGGGAGAAAAGATCCCAGAGGTCTAAGACCCAGACTCAGGTGGAACTCCCTGCTTGAGCTCCTTAACACCTGGCTGCCTCCTTCCTGTATCTCTCAGTTTCCTCTGCCTGGTCCCAGAAGAAGCCAAGACTGCAGCCTTTCTAGAAGAGACTGGCTATGACACCTATGTCCATGATGCTTATGGGTTGGTGAGTTTTCCTTGATGATTCTCTTGCCTTCCATCTTCATCCTACCTAATATGGGGATCATTTTCTTCCTGTGTCATCACTCACCCTCTGGACATAAGCTCCCGCCATTCAGTATACTTTCATTTCTAAAGAAGAGCTGAGAATTTGACTTCCTCTCTGGGGCAGCTAGGTGGCGCAGAGGATAGAGCACAAGCCCTGGATTCAGGAGGACCTGAGTTCAAAGGCGGCCTCAGACACATAACACTTAACTAGCTGTGTCACCCTGGGCAAGTCATTTAACCCCATTGCCTAGCCAAAACAAACAAACAAACAAAAGAATTTGACTTCCTCTCTAAAGTATACAGGTATAAGAAAAATGTCCCTGATTTCCATCAGGCCCAATATCTCAGAACCTGCCCAAACCCAGATTTCTGTCTTATCTCAGTTCCAGGAATGCTGTTCCCGAGTTGCCTCCTGGGGTTGGCCTTTGGCTCCTACCCCGCTTGATCCCCATGAGCCCGAGACTCCATTCTTTGAGGGTCACTTCCTCCAAGTGCTCTTCAATCGGATGGCACGGATCTTGGATCAGGTAGCAGGATAAGTATAATTAGGCAATCCCACAGCTTGGCCTGGTAAGGCATTGAGGAAATAGCACGAGGAAGGCACCCAGGATAAAGCTAGGCTTGTGCCAACCACAATGGTGCAGTGGCAGGATGACTGATTGTAGGGAGCAGGTTTCTTATCAGGGCCTTGGGTTTTAATACTACCTCCCTTCTTCCTGACTTTCCCTCTTTCCAAACCCACATACCACCCTAACCTTCCCCAGTGGGGAAGGCCCATCATGCTTTTGCTCTTCATGCCCCAACATGCTCAGCCCTCAGCCCCAGGGCATCCATGTCACACATATCACGTGCACTCTGCCTCCCCCTCATACGTTCACACTGTCCAGGAGTCCTGGTTGGGGGGAAGTTGGAGAATGCTCAGAGAGCCCCCCTCATTAATATTACCCACCATGTTCTCCACAGCCATACAGTCTGAATCTGCAAGTGACTTCCGTCCTGTCCCGCCTGGCCCTATTCCCTCACCCCCATATCCATGAATACCTCTTGGACCCCTACATCAGCCTGGCCCCTGGCTGCAGGAGTCTCTTCTCTGTGCTTGTGAGGGTAAGGATACCAAAGAACCAAGAGGCAAGCTGAGATGGAAAGAGAAGTGAAGGGGATCCCAAGGCTGGCTCATTGTCCACAACATGGTATCAGAGGCAAGGGGGCAAACGAGGGATGGGCACCTTCCTTTTCCTTCCCCACCCCCACAGTGGCCCATGACTGGCACCTTAAGGAAAGGCCACAAGAGGAGTTCTAGATCCCACTACTCTATCTCCCCTCCCCCATCCCAGCCTCTGCTCATCTTTTCTAGGTAATTGGAGACTTGATGCAGAGAATCCAGCGAGTGCCCCAGTTCTCAAGCAAGCTACTCCTGGTTAGGAAGCAGTTGACTGGGCAGGTCCCCGGAGAGCAGTAAGTACCTGTTCAGGTGATGCTGATGCTTTGGGAGATGTCCTAGAAGACAGGAGGTGGGGGGTGGCGCTGCTGGGGAAGGGCCCTGCTGTTTGCCTCTGGCAGGTTTCTCTGCTGTGTCCTGTAAGTATCAGGGAAGGTATACCAGGGGAAACACCAGCCCCTGGGCAGCTGGGCAGCTGTGACCCTTTGCTTTTTTTCTGTAGAATGGACCATCAGACCCTCCTGCAGGGGGTGGTAGTGCTCGAAGAGTTCTGCAAGGAGTTGGCTGCTATTGCCTTTGTTAAATTCCCCCCAAACAGTCCTCACCTGAACCTGCCCTCACCCCCACAAGGCCATGTCTGAGCCAGAACCGTGGGGGGTGGGGGGGGACTCCATGTCTACACCTCTGCCTCAAGGCAGCCTCTTCCCCTGGCATGGCTAGCACTGTTCTCCCTGGAGTGGGGGGAGGCCTGACTGCCTCCTCAGACCTTGGCAATGGCGCCTGCTTTTCCAAGGCCATTAGCATTCAGCTCCTGGCTTGTAGACCATATCTTCCAAGGCGGGGCTCTTGAAGGGTGCCAAGGAAGCAGGAGAGGAGGCTACAGCTCTTCCCTGGACAAACATCATTCAGAGGGAGAGAAGTGGGGCAGACGCCCAGTACTTACAAACCCTTTGATTTTTTTTGTACCCACTACCTCCCCTCTCCCATTCTGGTCATCCCTGTTAAGGGACTGGGATGCAATTGGCTCTAAGGCTCTTCAGTCTTGGCAGGGGGCGTGGAACCTATTTTCATACTGAGCTTCAAAGAGCTGCTGAGACTTAGAGCCTATCCGCCCACCCAAGGGGATGTGGGCAGTGAACGGAGAGCTTGGGGAGGCCCCCTCTTCCTCCTCTGCCCATCCTTCATGCAGTTACAAAATTCCCAACTGCAGCATGGCAAGCACCCAAGGTATGTTCCGCACCCAGGCGGGGGCAGCTGCTAATGAGAACCTTGATGTGAGTGCAGCCAGGGTGGGAAAGGGCCTGAGGAGAAGAGCAAAGAGCCAGCCTGTGGCTGGTTTCTCTGGCGCCCTCTGAACCCGTCTCGGCAGGTCCCTGACACCTGGGGTGAGGCACTAGGATCCAGGAAGGGCTGTGCCCTTAGCAGCCCGCCCAACTCCCTGGCTCTGAAAGAGCGCTCATCTCGGGAACATCAGGCCTCAGCAGAGTCTGAATGAACAAGGCTAGTGTTCATCGGCCCACCTGCAGACCCGGCCAGGAAGGGGCTGGAGAAAAAGCAGCCAAAGCCCGGGCCCCGCTCCTCATGTGTTCTCTGCTGCTGGGGTTGCCACCCCGCTCACCCTGGATCTGTTTCGACCTGCACTAGGTGGTGCTAGGCATTACCTCACAGGACTACAGTTGTTGGCTTCCCTCCCAAGCAGGGAGCAGCAGCAGCCCAAAGCCCCTTTTCCCTTTTCCTGGCTGCCTTTCTCTGCAGATCAGACTTGGGTTTCCAAGGGGGTAACATGCAAGGGGAGGAAACCCATTGACCTTCCTAATCCCTCCATTCCCCACTTCAAGCTGGCAGGACTATCAGCTGGCTACTGCTCCTCAGGGTGGGCGTGTGGTGGCCAGTCTCAGCTGCTGGAGAGAACACAGACTACATTTAGTTCAACTTTGGGGACACAATGGGAGGCCTGGGAATTGAGCTCTCAACTTCTATGCACTTTGGCCTATGCATGGTGCCCTCCATGAGGCAGCCCAGCAATAAAACGGTGTGGTTGTACAAACGTCACGGCTCCGTCCTTTTCTGTACTCTGCATCCCTCCAACTAGAAATCACAGCAAAAACTGCCTGCCTGTTACAGCACTGAGCGTGGCCACAAGGGCAGAAGGCGTCTCACCCTCACAGGGGGTAGTTTCTGTTCATTTTATATGCCCTTTTCATCTCTGAGACACTTCCTCCTCAAGTGGGTGAGACTGAAGAAAGACCCCCACCAAGGGTTACAGCCCCAAGTCTTCTCTTCCCTAGACCACCCAAGCAGGTCAGCTCATGAAGGCCAGCTTTCACCCAGACTTCTAAGATCAGTGAAAGAACTGGCTTCTCCCTATGGACAGTACAGCTAAAACACTCCTCTTGCTTTTGTTTCACAGTCACCCAGGCAGATGTCAAGGGGAATTTGAATGAACATTTATTAAGCACTTATATACTAAGTGTTGAGGATATAAAGGGAAAAAAACAGTACCTGCCCTCAAGGAGCTTACATTCTACTTTGGGGATAGACAGATAAAGAAGCATAGCACAAAGTAAACTGAGAGAAAGAATTAACTGGGGGGGTCAGTGACTGCTTCACAGAGGAGTTGGCACCCAAGCTTATCCAGGAAGCAGTCAAGGATCCCGAAAACTAGAGATGGGGAAGTGCATTCCAAGCACAGAGGAAAACGCATGTAAATACACAAAGGTGGGAGATGAGTTCTAGAACAGCCAGTATCCAGTACGGCTGGAATGTAGACTTTATGAAAGGGAAAAAGTATGAAATAAGGCTAGAAGCATAAGTACAAATCAGATTGTAGAAGGCCTTGGATGCCAGGTATAGAAGTTTATATTCTATAGAACTATTTTTGAGCAGGGGAATAACATGGTTAGACACCCGACTGCTCAGGAAGGGGGTGCACAGCAGCAATGGAGGGGCCTACATTGTACCCTTTTACTGGCCCACACAGGCTTCAGCAGTATAGAAGAAGATAAAGATGTTACCATTGGCAAGGTGGCCACTAGAGATAAGTAGGCATGATTTCATCTGCAGCCAAGCTGTTCTAATAGTCTCAGGCTCTAAGATGAGTAGGTTTTCAATTTGCCTTAGGTGACCAGTCTTTGGGCTCTGAACTCTCTGCCCAAGTTCAGTCGTTGTCCTTCTTGATAAGCAAAAAGTGACAATGGGGTGGAAGAAGGATAGTGACCTGAGAACCCAGAGGCCCCTATTTACCCCCATGAAGATCTCTGTGGGCTCGATTCCCAGGCATCCTAGAAGATTCAAAACCACAGCTGTGTGGCGCCAGTGCCTATGTGTGTGCTCATTTCCCAGCAGCTCAGCTAACTGTGGATTGGGACAACAGACGCTTCTTGAAGTCTCTTTAGGAGGTGGCTTTGCACATCTTCCTCTTCCACCTGCCACCAGCAGAAGTTGATGCCTTGAATCTCAGGTGGCTTGTTGAGGACACCTGGGTTTCTATAGGCCACCGTGACTAGCACATTCAGGCAGATCCCATCAGCCTGGTTCTTGCCCAGGTGCTGAAGCCCCAGTACCCCCTGGGTCTTCACTGTCAACTGGGACAGTGTCAAGCACTGTTGTAGGAGTCGAAACACTGACACCACAATGCTGTTATTCTGCTCTGATGGGGTGAGTCCACAGGCTGTGATGGGCAAATGGAGACTGCCTTCTTTACTCACCAACACCCATATATTCTTGGCACTGGTAAAGGCGGCTATAAGCCGCTGGCAGATAAGCTTGCAGGGAAGCTCCTGGGGTAGAGTAGGAGGGTGTCTAGCTTGTTGGTGATAGTGGGAACCCAGTTTTATGAGAGGCAGGATGTCATGGGAACGAAGCGGAGTGGGCAAGGAGGCGTGAGGGTACCAGCCAGCTTGCAGGGACTCCTTATCTGCCTCCTCCGAAGTCTTGAGGATCCCACCTGAAAGTCAGAAGGGAGAAGGAAGCATCAGAGCTAAAAGGAAAAAGATGCCCCTTTGGGCAGAAAGATTTATACCAGTCAATTATTTTAGGACAGACAGGGGGTCTGAGGAGACAAGAAGGGAGTGAGGTGCTCCCCATCCACCGCCCACCAGGTTGTGAAGGAGTACCTGTGGGGCGGGCAAGGAAAGCTAAGCGGATCCAGCGGGGACCTCGCTCCTCCACTGCCAGCAGCGTCAATGGTTCACACTCCAGGCCTGCCTCCTCCTTCACCTCCCGTCTCAGTGCCTCCAGAATGGTTTCCCCAGGCTCCATTCTCCCAGCAGGTAGATACCAAGACCCATGGCACTCTCTTTTGGCTTCCTGGATCATTAACACTTCATCCTGGGGAAAGAAAGAGGACCTCCCATCCCAACTGTCGTCCATTACCCCCAGGATCAATTCTCAGGCAAGACACTCCATTATCTAGCATCAAAAAGGACCCTACCAAGACCTCCTATCCAGGAACTTAACAGATGCCTCAAATACTAGAGCTGGGATGAATGTAGCAGGCAAGGAAACACCAAAGCACTATCTGCTAGGTTGCCCCTGCTCTTCCATGGTATCTGAAACAGTTTGACTCCCTTTCATTTTAACAAGTTCCCCCTGGAAAGCAGATCTACAGTTACCAGGATTTCAGAGCCTTACCCAAGGCTTTGGGTGCACCAGACACCAGGCTGGTGCCTTATTCCCAATGTGTATCTGTTCTCCCCTCCCTGCTAGATTTCAAGCTGTTAAGAAACATCTCAGACTTGTTTTGAGGATCCTACCTCACAGAGCAGTGAAGATAAAATGATACGTATGTACAAGTCCACTCTGCCTTCCCTCTGGTGGTAATCTCTAATTTATCCTGTCTGTGCATATCCTGTCTGTCTGTACATAGCTGTTTGTATGTTGACTCTTCCATTAGGCTGTGGGCTCCTTGGGAGCAAGGGACTGATTTTTTGTCTTTCTTTGTATCCCCAATGCTTACCACAGTACCTGGCACATCATAGGTGCTTAATAATTGCTTGTCGACTGACTTTAAATCTTAAAAGGCAAACCTCAAAATGCTATTCAAATGGCAGCTGTCACACCTTGGGCTTCACAAATTCTCCTCTGCCTCAGCTCTGATGATCTCCATCCCCTCTCTACCACAGCCTCTCACTTGGGTGGTCAAATTTTAGACCTTGCCATTACTTGAAACTACTTCACCTTTGAGATCATAAACTATGAAATTCCTGTCTCTGACATAAATTGTTCCCACTCTTTCAGGTCTCCTCTTCATGACCTCTGGTCACCTGATCCCTTCCTCCGTCAGCCACATCCTCTTCTGACTTGTCTCCCTGCCCAGTCTGGATCACATGGTCAACTCTCAAAGTTCCACTCTCCTTTATTCTTGAATGCCTTGTTCTTTGACTTTCTGTCATTCTTGCCCTGCTAATTTAAAATCCTAGATGAGGATGAGCTTCCTTCTCTGCTCTTATTCCTGAACTGCCCTAACAATGTAGAAGAAAGTGATGGAAATGCCCTGATGGGGTCCTAGAAATGTATGCTAATAACCCTCAACTGGGCCCTTCCTTGTTGCATGGCACATTCCCCTCCCCAGCTACTCCAAACCCCCAATTCCACTCCACCCCACTCACTGTCAGTAGTTGGCTTCAGTCTTCTCTGTCAAGGAGGAGGTGAAGTCATCTGCCCGAAACTTCCCTCAACTCTCCTCCTCCACACCTCGAAGTCTGTGGCAATGCCCATAGCCATCCCTTTTCCTCCGGTCTCTGAGGAAGAGGTGGCTTCCCCTTCTGGGCGCCTGTGCATTTGAGTCCACCCCCTCCCACCTTTTTCAGGACCTGCATCAAATGTATACTGTACCATCTTTGGTCTCTTCCTCTTATCTGACGCCTTTCCTTCACTTACAAACACATTCAGGTTTCCCCTAGTTTAAAAACAAACAAACACCCTTCTACCTCTGCAGCGCCCTCAAACTATGCTTTTTTCACTTTAGAAAGAATAGTTACTTGCTTCTAAACTTGCCTTTTGACCACTCACTTTCTAATGTCTCTCTGATGGCTGGGGTGGGGGGAGGCTCCTCATTTCTTTTTTCTCAGTATCTGTCTGTCTCTCAGCAACTATGTTCTCTCTGTCTCAATTATCTGTCTCTTAAGATCTGCCTATGGGCAGCCAGGTGGCGCAGTGGATAGAGCACCGGCCCTGAAGTCAGGAGTACCTGAGTTCAAATCCGGCCTCAGACCAAACACTTGACACTTACCTGCTGTGTGACCCTGGGCAAGTCACTTAACCCCAATTGCCTAAAACAAACAAAAAAACACACACACACACACACAAAAAGGGGGGCAGCTAGGTGGCACTGTGAATAGAGCACCGGCCCTGAAGTCAGGAAGACCTGAGTTCAAATCTGACCTCAGACTCTTAACACTTACTAGCTGTGTGACCCTGGGCAAGTCACTTAACCCCAATTGCCTAAAACAAACAAACAAAAAAAAACCGCACACACAAAAAGGGGGGCAGTTAGGTGGCACAGTGGATAGAGCACCGGCCCTGAAGTCAGGAAGACCTGAGTTCAAATCCGGCCTCAGACCAAACACTTGACACTTACTAGCTGTGTGACCTTGGGCAAGTTACTTAACCCCGATTGCCTCACCAAAAAAAAAAAAAAAAATCTGCCTCTCTCAGTATCTGCCTCCCTCTCTCTCCTTTTTTCTCCCCCTCTTTTTCTCTATCTGCCTCTTTCTTTCTCTCCCTTTCTTCTTTCTCTCTCTCCTCCCCCATCCCTCTCTGTCAGTATCTGCCTTGTGCCTCTCTCTTCCTTTTTCTCTGTATCTGTCTCTCTTTTCTCTCTTTCTTCTCTCCCTCCCTGTCTCTCTCTTGATATCTATCTCTTAGTATCTCTCTCTCTCTCCTTCCCTCTCTGTTTCTCTGTCTCTCTTGGTATCTGCCTCTCTGTCTTTCTACAAACTTTCCCTAGATGATTTCATCAACTTCCATGGCTTCCATTTTCACCCCAAGGCAGATAACTCCCAAATCTTTATCTCCAGATTTGACTCCTCCCGTGCATACCAATCCAGGGCTTCCAACTGCCTGCTGAATACCTTCCATATCAAGATGTCCCATCAGGACTTCAAAGTCAGTGTGTCCCAAACTGAACTCATCATCTGGCCTCTGAAACCTGCCCTTCTTCCTGATTTCTCTATTTCTGTTAGTGATACTACCGTCCTCCCAGCCACACAAGGTTGTAAACTTTAGGAATCTTTAATTATTCCTCCTCTCCTCCAGGCAGCTAAGTGGTAAAATGAAGAGATCACAAGGCCTGGAGTCAGGAAGACTTGAGTTCAAATTTGACCTCTGAGACTTACTATGTGTGACCCTAGGCAAGTCACTTAACCTCTATCTACCTCAGTTTTCTCAACTGTAAAATGAGGACAATGATGGTATTTACCTCCCAGGGTTGTTGTGGGGATCAAACAAGATGATATTTGTAAAGTGTGTGGCACATAGCAGGGGCTAAAAAAAGCCGGTTGTCTTCCCCCCATATCAGAGTTCAATAAACATTTATTTGCTCCAATAGAATATAAGCCCCTTGAAGGCAGGGGCTGTTGTGTCTTTGGATAACCCCAGCATGTGGTACATAGGAGATGTTTAATAAATGCCTGTTCTTGCTCTCCTCCCCCCATGTCTATTCAATAAGCATTTATTCCCCACCCCCAATAGAATATAAACCCCTTGAGGGCAGGGATTGTTTCATCTTTTTGTCTCTGTAACCCCAGCATGTAACACATAGTAGGTGCTAATAAATCCTTACCGAACAGCTGGACATTTGCTAAGGTTTCGCCCTTTATTCAAGACCCAGTTCAGGAGCCACAGTCATGAAACTTTCTCTAAACATTCTGTCTGGATCCTTCCTATACATTTATCATACTCTAACTTGCAAGTGCTGGCTTGTGAGTTCCTTGTGGGTAAGGATTGTATCGTGTTTCTCATGTCTGTCTCCTTAGCCCACAGTAAGTGTTTAATAAATAAATAAATGTTGAATGGAATTCTCCATGCTTGATCACCTGTGGCAGCTAGCACAGTGCGTTGTACCCAGCGGACATTCAATAAATGTTTTGGGTGAATATCAGACTTCTTTGAACTAGGCACTTAATAAAATGCTGGTTTGAATTGAAATGAAAACGGCATCTGATTCTCCAAGAACCACCTTGCCAATAAGGGGGTCCTTTCTCCGTCTCTCTTTCCCAAGCCCATGGATTAAATGGGTCCGGGCTCTAGGGTCCTCTATCTTGGGGTGTCTGGGGTCCCAAAGGACTTTAAAGTCAGGGTCCTGGCTGTCTCTCACCTGGTCGTTGAAGAAGACAGCCAGCACGATATAGGAGACATTCTTCCTGAGCTGCACAGGCACAGGTGAGACCTTTGGGGGTACAGAATCATAGTCCAGCACCGGCAGCCCCTGGCCCCCCAGCACGGCCCTCAGATCCCCTGCCAGGCCCGAGGATGCCATTGGAACGGGCTGGGGGAGGAGGGTGGGGGCGAGATGGATACAGGGATGGAGAGAAGAGGGAGAGGCTGGGACCCAGAGGGTGGGGACCGCACTGGATCACGTGGGGGGTGTGGGGGGGCGGAGCAGGGAATCTGGACCGGAGGGGCAGGTGGAGCCCCAGGAACAAAGATGGAAAATTTGGGTAAAAAGGAAACGGACCTCGGGGGACACACGAGACAGGACTGGAGCTAGGGGCTAAGGGCGCAGAGAGGCCAAGGTCACGGTCAGGGTCAAGGTCAGAGTCTGCTCTCTGGAAGGACCAGGCCCGGCCGGACGAGTGGGGTTAGAGGAGGGAGGGGAAATCAAAGCCTGGTTGGGTTCCCTCCACCGGCCCCGCCTCTCTCGGGAGACCCAGGAGTGCCCTCCCCGCCCCCGCTGTTTGACGTCACTCCATCCCGGCCCTGCCATTGGCCTTCCAGAGTCCCTTAGAACAAGGGAGGTGGAGACTGCTCTTAAAGGAGCCGAGTCCTCGGAGTGACCGCTCAGACTTCCTCCCTGCTCGCGCTGCCCCTTCGCTTCTCCCTCCGGCGGCGCGCTGACGTCACCGCCCCCTGGGGATAGCAGGAGACGTCACCCACCCACAGAGTGGGTGAGGCGCAGGACGGCTTCGGAGTGACGTCTCAGGAAAGCGGGGACAGCGTCTGTCCTGGAGAGACACCAGGACACCCCTCCCACTAACTTTTGCACACCGCATCCCGGCTTTCTCCTTCGCCCCATCCCCCCGCACCCCAGCCCGAGGCAGCTACGCATGCATTCCCTGTTTGGACACCCCTGAAGCTTCCCCCACTGCAGCACCGCTTGTCATCCTCCTTGGCCTCTTGGGGCCAAGCAGAACTGGGTCAGGCCCTTTTCTACACGTCAGCCCTTCAGATGCTGGAAGACAACTTGCCAAAAAAATAAAAAAAAGAGCAGCCCACACTTGCACTCCTTTATCCAGGCTAAGCATCCTCAATTCCTTCCCCCGCCTCCAGTTTAGATGCTCTTCACCGTATCCTGGCTGTCCTTTGGATTTTGACATGTACAAACTGCTTGTCTTTGTCTTTCCAAAATTACTGCGCACAGGGCTCCAGATGTGCTCCAAGGGGGCAGAGTGTATGAGACAGGCCAGCACCTCCCTAGGCTTGGATGCTAGTGCTTGTCAGGAAGGGGCCTCAGCTCACATTGCTCTGGAGGCAGCTTGCTCTTTGAACTAACATTGAGCTTGCAGACCACCGGAATCCTCAGATCTTTTCTTTACATGAACTGTTTGTGACCACCCCGACCAACTGCCTTTTTTTTTAATCCTACATTTGGTTACATGTATCCTTATTATTTATCACTGAATAGCAATAGTAGTGTAGGGCCAATGGAAAGATGGCCTCAGAGCCAGGGTCAGCTAGGTGGCTCTGAAGGGCAGTGGAGTCAAACTCAAATAGAAACAGGGGCCACTTAACCGTACATAAAGATGCCTGCCAGCTGCTGCATGTTGACTTAGAAAACCATATATTAACATTATCTATGTCACTGTATTTTTTAATTTTGTTAAATATTTCCCCATTTAATTTTGATCTGGTTCAAATACTTTTAGTGTTGTGTTGTGGGCCCACCTTTGGTGTGGTGGCTAAAACATTGCTCCTGGAGTCAGAAGACCAGAGTTAAAACCCCACCTCAATTACTAGCTGTGTGACCCTGGGCAAGTCATTTAACTTCTCTGTCATCTGTAATGTGGGGATAATAAGAGCACCTAAATGAGATTATATTTGTAAAGCACTTTGTGAACTTTAAAGTATTATTATTACAATTATTGTTATTCAAGTCCTATTGATGCCCACAGGGTGACCCTAGGCAAGTCATTTAACTTTACCTGCTTCAGTTTCCTCATCTGTAAAATGGAGGTAATATAGCACCTACCTCTCAAGATTGTGAGGCTCAAATGAGATAATATTTGTAAAGCAGCTTGCAAACCTTAAATTGCTATATAAATTCTAATTATTATTATTATTGTTAGCCACATGTTGGCTAGGGGAACCAGGACAAGTCATTTAACCTCTAGGTGCTCTTGGCAGCTCTCTAAGACTACGAGCTAAAGTGCTGACTTTCTTTGACATAGGGAGTTTCCTCACATGAGGGTTACTATATCAATGAAATCATTGCTCTGGTCCAAATGCCCTAAATAGACTCCTGGCTCTTGTCACCCAACCACTCTCCCTCCCATCTTTATGTCATTTACAAATCTGATAAGAAAACCAGTCATTGATAAAAATCTGAAAACAGAACAGGGCTAAAGTCTGGGCATAACGTTGATTCCATAATAATCCATGAATGCTTGTTATGCCAGAATTCTGAAATTCCCCTGTTTGACCCAAACCTCTCTTTCCGTCCATCCGCAAGCTTCACCCCTCTTGAATGTGCTCTTCCCCACCTTAGTTTACACTGCCAGCTTTCCCATTTCCTCAGCCAGTACTGTGGCCCTATTTGCTTTCTTTACCAGTGTTTACACTTTAATTAAAGCAGTTCAACTTTATGCTGTTTTCTACCCTCCAAATCTCTACCCGCCTCCAAATACCCATCTCAAGTCATTTGACTTCTCCATCATCTGTAATATGGGGATCTTAAGCACACCGACCTCCCAGGGTTGTTGTGATGCCTCTGGGCATCTCAAGCTAAACCTGTCTAAAAGAGAATTACTTTTCTTTCCCCCAAACCCCCCTCTTCTAGACTTCCCTACTGCTGTTAATACTATTCTATTTTCAGCCCTTAGCATGGTGCTTTGTACATAGTAAGGACTTAATAAGTGCACTATTCCTTTATTCATTCATGGGGATGAGGGAGAGATACACCACCATTCTCCCAGTCACTCAGGCTCTTAAACCTCAGTGTATCCCCACTTCCTCAACTTTCACTTACCTCATATATCCAGTTCATTGCCAAGTCTCATCATTTCTACTTTCTCAATTTGTGTCTAATACATCCCCTCTCTCCACTTAGGCAACCATCCAGACCCGCATCACCTCTCTCCTGGTAGTGGTTTCCTGCCTCAGGTCTCTGTCTCCAATACAATCCATCCTTCACTCAGCTGCCAAAATTATTTTCATAAAGCACAGGTGACCATGTCATCCCTTTGTTCAAAGAGCTGCGTGGCTCCCTATTACCTCCAGGATCAAATATAAAATCCTCTGGTATTGGAAGCTTCTTACAGCTTGGCCCCTTGCTACCTTTCCAGCCTTCTCACACCCTACTCTCCCCCATGCACACTATGATCCAGGTACACTGACCTCCTTGTAGTTAGTTCCTTGAATAAGACACTCATCTCCCATCTCTATGTCTTTGCACTGGCTTCCTCCAAGCCTGAAATACTCTTCAGCTCAAATTCCACCTTCTCCAGCAGACCTTCCCCATGACCCTCAGCAGTGAATGCCTTCTCCTTTGAGATTACCTTCATGTACTCTCTATACTATGTGCCTAGTTATTTACATTTACTCTCTCCCATTAGAATGTGGGAAAGGCTTGCCTCTTCTTTTTTTAATATTTAATAATTTTTAATTTTAGCACAGTACTGGGCAAATTTCTGGCCGGGCTAGGTGGCATAGTAGATAGAGCACTGGGTCTGGAGTCAGGAATACCTGAGTTCAAATCCAGTTGTGTGATCCAGCAAGTCATTTAACCTCTGTCTGCCTCAATTTCCTCATCTGTAAAATAGAAATGATAATAGCACCTACCTTCCTGGGTTGTTGTGAGGATCAAGTAAGATAACAATTGTAAAGCACTTTGTAAACCCTAAAGTGTTATGTATAAATACTGTTATTAAGTAATTATTGACTAACTGACTTTGTGCTTACTGTATATTTTTCACATTTACTTATATATCCATCCATCCATCCATATATATACATATATATTTGAGTGTGTGTGTGTGTATATATATATATATATATATATATACACACACACACATATATATATTGTTTCTCCAACGTAGGATATAAGCTCCTTAAAGTTAGGGACTTAAGGTCATTTTTGTCTTTGTACTTAGCACAAAGTCGGGGCTTTATAAATATTTGTTGAGCTGAATTGTGGATGTGACGAATCCCTGCAATCAGAGGTGTCCTGGAGCCAGCTCATACTGACTAAGCACATGATACAAAGCAGGACTTGATTTCTTATTTTGTTGATTGTCCAGATTTAAGAAAGTTATGGAGAAAATGTTAATGCAGATTAAAACTCAAAGTGTATGCCACATGCTTTCTTTTTTTTTTCCCTAAAGAGCTGTTTTAAACACTAACTAGGACACCCCTGTCTGTAGCCATTAAACTTCAGACACGAGTGCAAATGGAGTATAGCCATTCCTCCAGCTTTGTATCCACTTAATTTTATTATATATGTCTCTCTGTGGCACCTTTGCCATTCTCCAAAAATTTTCAAAGATGATCAGCCATAGCTTAGCACTCACATTACAAGTTATTTTAGTGCTCTAGGAGTAGTTCTTCTGAGCCTAGTGAAAAAAACCCATTGAGGACAGCTCACTCATTTATTTACTCATTAGTACATTTCCTCATTCACATGTTCACTCACCTATTTAATCACTCATTCATTCATTCATTCATTACTCATCAATTCTTTGCCATACTTACCCATTCACTCACTCATTTGTTCACTCATTCATTCACTGAAAAAAAAATTAATTCGTTGTTATGTAGAGCGTTGTAAGGAAAGATAAAATAGATGTCTGGCTTTCCAGAGTTGGGACTTGGAGGATAGAGAGATTATAAATCTTTGTTTAATTGAATTGAGTTGAATTGAATGATGGCTAAGTGAAGCTGAAGGCGAGGGTACCAGGAGACCCCCCTAAGGTAAATGTGGAGAGATGCTGTTATTTGAAGTTCCTAGTCTTCCTTATCTGCATCCACATTTTAGGGGATTTCTTTTGGGGATTTCTTTATGGGTCCACTCGGTGCCCAGGGCAAAGTCTATGCCTGCTACACTCTTCCCATTCTCTTTCTGTGTTCCCCACCCCTTACCTTCAAGCATCTGATCCATCTTTCCTGGTCCAGTGACCGCCAAAGGCTGCTTCTGCCTGTAAGGATTCCCATGTTCACACTTGCCTTTCTTCCCTTGGCCCTTTGCCCAGACTCTACCTGTCTGTGCTTGCATTTTAGAGCACCCTAACAACAGAGACCCTCTTCTATTCTCTTGTCACATCCATAGGCCAATGCACACAGTAGGTGTTCAGTGATGGATTCATTAATTAATGGATTGCCCACCATAGAGCTCACCACCTGGTGTTCCCCATTCAGACTCTTCCAAGACTCTCAGGGTAGACCCATTACCCAAGAGTAGGGAGTCCTGGGGCAGTGAGTCAGGATGCCTGAATTCCAAACCTATTCCACACTTACTTGCCTTGTGTGTGTTTGGGCCTCTGGTATTCCTGTCTGTAAAGTGGGGATGATGATCCCAATCTCCTCCCTGCCTCCCAGGGTTGTGGTGAGAATGAATGAGATCATGTCTGGGCAGGGCATTGAGTGCCTCTGAGACAGAGCCTAAGATAAACACCAGGTTGAAATAACAGAATGCAAGAGGGAAGACATTTCCTTGGTGTTTGCTTGCTTTCTTTCCTTTCTTCATTTCTTTCTTCCTTTCTTCTTTCTTTCCTTCCTTCCTTCCTTTCTTTCTTTCCTTTCTTCTTTCATTCCTTCATTTCTTTCTTCTTTCTTTCCTTCATTTCTTTCTTCCTTTCTTTCTTTCTTTCTCCCTCCCTCCCTTCCTTTCTCTCTTCCTTCTTTCTTCCTTCTTTTCTTTGTCTCTGTCTTCTTTTTCCTTTCTCTTTTTCTCTTTCCCTCTTTTACTTTCTTTTCATTCTTCTTCCTCCTTTTTTCCCTCCTCTTCCTCTATTCCTCTTTTCTTTCTTCTTCTTCTTCTTCTTTGCTTTATTTCTTTCCTCCTCTATGTTCCCTTCAACTTGTGGATTCTCACACAAACACCTAGGTTCAATGTGGGGTAATTTTGGGAATAAGTGTACCTTAATGGGCAAGGAACTCCATCATGGTTCAACTGGGAATCTCTAAAAAATCATCTAAACTCTGTTTGCACCTTGCCAACAGACTCGACAAGGAACATGCTTTTCAAAGTTAAACATTTAGTCAGGACTGCAGGAAAACCTATCTCAACACCCATTCTCAAATAAGTAAAAATTCATTCCCACTTCTCACTTCCTACCAGAATAGCCTGGGAAAACAGAATCTCCAAGACACATGGCCCCAAAATAGGAAAGTGAAAAGTTTCTCTCTCTATCTCTATCTCTCTCTTTCTGTCTCTGTCTCTCTGTCTCTTTCTGTCCCCTTTCTCCTTCTCTGTCTCTTTCTCTCTCTCAGTTTCTCCTTCTCTTCCTTTCTCCAAAATTTCCCTTGATGATCTCATCAACTTCTACGGCTCAATTTTTACCCTAAGGCAGTCACAGCACCTTCTCACAGTCCAGATGTCTGCTCATGTTGCTCCGTGGGGTCTCAGAAACATGTCAGGACTCCTGAGCTCCTGGATAGGGTCATTGCAGTCTCTCGCCATGCGGTTGCACTTTTTCTTCTGTCCAGAGGTCTCTACTGAAGAGACTGAAGTAGGTCTCTTCCCTCTCTGCCTCTGCAGCAAAGGCATAGTTTTTCCTAGAAAATGAAGTCCTAGGAATATCAATCAGGCTTAATGTTGAGATTGAGGGTCTTCTGAAAAATGTAATCCTTTCAATCATATATGCCCCTATCAAATCCTACCCATGGTAAAAATAATTTCACTCTCTACGAATCACACTCAGTGAATATATACAGTGATATACATATATATATAGTTATATACTATATACTTCATAAAACATCCATTAATTTGCAAAGAAAAAAAAATCACAGTCAATTATTCCTGAGACATATATCATAAGAAGGTGTAAAGTATGTAATGTTCAATTAATATCTCATATAGTAGATCAACCACATAAATTCCAAGCGTAGAGAAATAATTTATAGCAAGCAGAACTACATACAGTAGATAGAATATATGTCACATGTAAATACTTATTTGATTTCTTGAACTGGTTGTCTTACACTCAACATATTCAAACTGAACTCATTATCTTTCTTCCTGGACACTCCCATCTTCCATTACTGTTAAGAGAACCATTATCTCCCAGTAACCCAGGCTTCTAACCTAGATGTCATCTTCAACTCACTCTCACTCCCAGTCTGTTGCTGAGTCCTAATATTTCTACCTTTATAGCATTTCTCATGTGTCTCTTCTCTCCTCTGACACTGACATCACTTGGTACAGTCCCTTATCACCTCCCATGTGCGCTGCTGCAATAGCCTGCTGCTGGGTCTTCCTGCCTCAATTCTGATGCATCTTGCACTTTGCTGTCAAAGTGATCTTCCTAAAGCACAGGTCTGACCATGTCACTCCTCTCTATTCAATAAACTTCAGTGGCTCCCTGTTACCTTCAGGATCAAAAATAAAATCCTCTGACTTTTAAAGCCCTTCATGACCTGGTCTCTCTCCATTTCCGTCTTCTTACATCTTACTCCTTTCCATGTACTCCATGTACTCTGTGATCCAGTTACATTGGCCCCCATCTCCCTACTCAGAACATTTTTATTGGCTGTCCTCCAGGCCTGGAATATTCTCTTTTCTTGTCTCCAACTCCTGACCTATTTGGCATCCTTCAAGTCTCAGTCAAAATACCACCTTCTACAACAAAACTTTCCCAGTCGCCCTCAATGTCAGTGCCTTCCCTCTGAGATTTTTTCCCATTTTTATCCCATATATAGCTTTGTACATAGTTATTTATATGTCTCTCTCTCATTGGATTATAAGCTCCTTGGGAGAAGAGACTATTTGTGCCTTTCTTTATATCCCTGTCACTTAGCACAGTACCTGGCATATAGTAGATATTTAATAAATACTTGACTTGACTTGATAAAGCATATGGCATTACATCATATGTTGGTTTTCCATTAAAAAATGCACATTAAAATATATACTCCATTAATGGGCACATTCTAACAAAATGAGTATTGTACCTTCATCTATGACCCCAGGAATATCATATGCCAACCGGGTACCTGGCCGGATAGTCCTTGTACTTCTGCACTGCCATTTTGTCACATTTGCACACCTTGTCTCTCGAGGCCCGTGGGTGAGTCAATGTCCTCAGGCTTATTGGCCTGCAGTCCTGCTTCTGGGCCTAATAAATGGTCTAAGTTGAAGACCACTGTTTCCAGGCCCTGATGAATCAGGCTCCATGGAGGAGGGAACGCCCACAACTGGTAAGTGAGCTAGGAAGGGGACAGCTTCTGGATTCAGCAATCCCCCTCATATCTAAGTAGAAGCCCCCTTTGGCCAGGGCAACCTTGACAGGGCTCCTCAGCCTTCAAGAAGGTACCAACATACAGTTTTTTTTTCATCTATATCTTGATCCATATCCTCCCCATATAGACAATCATTTGGTTCCATATTCCAGGGAATCTTACTAAATTCCTAGGGAAAACAGATATTGGCCTTGCAGAGCCCCAGTCACTCTTTGGGGTGATTTAATAGACTGGCAAGTTACCTACTTTTTTTTAAACATAGTGAGGCGGCTGGGTGTTAGAGTGGAGAGAAGGATGGGCTTAGAATCAGGAAAACTCAAGTTCAAATTCTTGCAGCAGATTCTTCCTAGCTCTATGACCCTAGGCAGGGCACCTAACCTCTTATACTCAGTTTCCTCTTCTGTAAAATGGGCATAGAAATAGTACCCAATCATCGGGTTGTTGTGTTGATCAAATGAGATAATATGTTAAGTGCTTTGTTAACCTCAAAGTGCTATATAAATAAATAAGGTACATTGCTGATATATGATATATGAATATATAATAAAATATATCAATATAATAAGGTATATAGCTATTATTACCATTGTTAATTACTTGGTATAGGGTGACCATCCATTATCATGTCTTTTACCTGGAGACCAAGGCTTCTTAGTAGGACTCTGTCCCCTGGCTAGAATACCTGGTCATGAGCAAGAGCATTAGGGTATCATTTCTCCTTTACTTAGCTTTTCTGAGCCAAGGCCTCCTTCAAATAATTTCTCAGTTGAGTGAAGAACTAGCTGGGAGACTCCTCATGTTTATACCTAGGGCTTCCAGACACAGATCTGTGCTCCAGACTCCCTACATTTCCCCATTGTGCTCCCTTCCTCTCCCTCCTTTCAGCTCTCTTATAGGTATTGTCTTCTCCCATTAGAATGTAAGCTTCTTGAGGGCAGGGACTATCTTTCTCTCTCTTTATAATTATGTTCTCATGCTCAGCTCAGTATCTGGCACATAGTAAGTCCTTAATGAATGCTTCTTGACTGACTGACAGATCAATAATAGGCCTGTAAGGCTATCGCTCCAACATAAAGGGATGAAGAATGAAGCGTATGGTGTTGTTCCTGATGGCATCATTCATACTCACTGGATGTATTGACTCCATTGAACTTACCCCTTAGGCCTCTGAGTCCAGCTTGTTTATCATGGTGTAATTAAAACAGTCTGGCTGTGGGTCTCCTCAAGGATGTAGTTTTAGACTTCTTGCTGCATGCCAAGGCTAGCACCAGTTTCAGCAGGATGTGGGTTATGTTCTTCCTGTCCCTTTCTAGAGGCAAGAAGTTTATGAACACCAGCTTCAAAGGGTTGGTGCTTCTGCACATGCTCTTTTGGCAAGCCGTTAAGTCAGTTTATCACCTTTCTTGGAACACACTGAATGCAGGGCTCACACTTACGGAAATCCCCCACCACCCTGGCTTGCTAGAACCTGGCCAGTAAAAGCCTACCTCCAGAATTTTATCTGGGCCCAAGAGAGTGCAAGAGGCCATCATCATGGAGTGCTTTCTTAGGGAACAGACCTTTGGTGGTACCAATTGCCTTCTTGTACTTCATGTAGGACTGACTGGTCATTGTTCAGTTTGGCACTCCTTCGCACAGATTTATCTTTGCATTCCTACACTAGACCAGTGGTTTCTGGGGATCTAAGCTTGAGTCTTCAAGAGGCATGTTCCTTTTTCTTGGCCTGGATCACTTTGTATAAACATTCCTGTCACATTTACATTCACTACCAATCATCCAAGGATACTTGACATAGGGACGACTGGCTTAGTGCTACCATATTTCCTCTCTCTGCTGGTGCACTCTCTGGGGGCTGTCCCAGATTCTGTTGCACTTTCTTTTCTTAATGGCTTTCCCTTCTTCAGGTTACAGGCTACTTTTGCTGCCTCCCAAGGGCTCATCAAGGTTTCTGATGGGCAGGCTTTCCAGATAGGACACCTGCATCCATGTTAGTCTTCCCTGGCTGATAATGGATGCTGAACTCATAATTGGCCAGCGCCTATACCTATCTCTGGCAAATGGTGTCCAATTTAGCACTTGTCAAAATATTGTCTGGCAGATTATTGCCCATCCATACTTAGAATTGAGACACATCTTGGAAGTTATCAGTGACAGTGACTTCAGAGCCATGAATATCAATTTGTAGGCAGAATGACAAATCTCAACATCAGTGAGTCCTCCACTGGCAAAGTGATAGGTGGTGGCCATCGCTTTCCTGGTACAAAACTTTTCCATGCCCCACAAGGCTTGCCTGGATC